TTCGAGGCATGGGGTACAACTAGGATATTCCCAGAGTTGAGTGATGGAATGTTTTCTTCAATGAACAGCAAAGAAGCCTCACTGGATCATAAAGTATGAGTAGAGGAGTAAGATGTGAGAAGATGGAAAAGGAAGAAGAGCCTAGGTAATGAAGAGTTTTAATTTTACATTTGATACTGGAAGTAACAGGGAGACAACTGAGTTGATTAAGTAGGGAGGTGACATGGTTGGACCTGTGCTTTAGATGATCCTTTGGCAGCTTAATGGAGGATGGGCTGGAGTAGTGAGAGACTTGAGGTAGGGAGGCCAACCAGAAGGCTATTAAAACAGCCCGAGCATGAGGTGAGGAGGACCTGTACCAAGGTGATGGCAGTATTAGTGGAGCACTTATCTATGAAGGGAGGCAGCAGCACCTTTTTCTCAGCTGACAAAGCTATAATCCAATGTGAATTCTGAGCCCAAATAGGAACTTCATCCCATCTTGGCCCTCACCTATGCTGGAGAAGAGTCACCAGGATATCATTAGCTATGGGTAGAATAAAATCCTGATAAATCTGTAACTCACTGAAATAAAATTTGGTTATTTGAACTCACAACAATTTGGAAAGATGGAAGAAGTGAATTAATTCCAGGTGTAGGGAATGTGAAAAGGCTGAGAGATGTCAGATAGAATGTTAAGTTTGGGAAATAGGTTTGCAGTAGGCTAGTATGGCTAGAACAGAGTATGTAAAAAGAAATAATATGAAATGAGCCTGGAAAGGTGAGTGGGAACCAGATTACAGAGGGCTTTACATGTCAGGTTGCGCTGTTTCTAATTTATTCTAAAGGCAATAAAGAGCCACATAAGACTTTTGACAGTTTGAATAAGGAAAAATCAATAGATCTAATTAATTTAGACTTTCAAAAAAATTTTTTTATAATATTCCTCCAAATGAGGAATAAAATGATAAAATTTAGTTACTGTAAGATGGTGCCAGGGGGCAGAGAAGGGTCACGTCAAGTCAACAAGTAATTATTAATTGCCTGCTATATGCCAGGAACTATGCTAAGTTCTGGAGATGTGATGAAAGAAAAACAATAACAAAGAGAAAAAGTCCCTGCTCTCAAGGAGCTCACAGTCTAATGGGGTGGGCACTATAAAACAACTCTATACAAACAAGATATATGCAGGATAAATGGAACACTTGGTCATGAATAAACAAAGACAGAAATAGGTATGGAGACATGGAATGAGCTATTCAGAATTATAAACAGTTTGGTCTTCTGAGAATGGATACTGATACTCATCTGATTTTTTAAAATTTCAAATAACTTGGAAGTATATAGGGAAATTTCTAAGGGATTAAGTGACACTAAGCTCTTTCTGAGACAGAAATACTAAATCTAGTAGGCATAAACCTGAAGAAATATTATGAAACTGTGAGTGGGCAGCAAAGTAGTTGATGAGATGTGATGAGGGAAAAGTAGAAGATAATTTTGATGAAAACTAATCTAAACTATTCTTTTATAAATGACATGTTTCAAGCTGTTAACATCCAGAAGAGGGATTTGGAAGCCACTCTGGAGAAAGAATAATATATTGCTGTGGCCAGAAAAGGGAACAAAATACTAATATCATTAGGGAAGGTTATTAGAAACAAATTAGAATCTAATGCCTTGTCCTTGTTTAGAATTTCAGTGCATACTTTATTTTTTTATTTTTTCAGTTTGGGTGCTCAATTTTTTTAAAGGCATAATTGAGCTGAAGAATGTTCAGAGAAAGGCAACTAAAATGATCAAGGGGTTGGTGGTATTCCCAAATGAGGAAGGAATTTTTATTTTTAGTTATTTATTTTGGGGGGGGCTGAGAGAAATATCAACTTCACAAAATTTCGAAGGGTTCTGTATGAGGTATCCATATGTATATTTACCAAATCCTAGAGTACTAGACCTGGGGTTATCCCACCTTTCTGGAAATTTGAAGTTAATCAGTCAATAAACTAAGTGCCTACAAACTGTGCAAATCCCTGGGGATACAAAAAAGAGGCAAAACACAACCCCTGCCCTCAAGGAGCTTGCAGTCTAGTAGGGGAAATCACAAGTAAATAAATCTGTGTAAACAAACTACAAGATGAATAGGAAATAATTAACTGAAGGAAGGCATTAGAATTAAAAAGGACTGAGAAAGGTTTCCTATAAAAGATGGGAGATTGAAGTTTATACAATAGTTGTAGAGCCTATAAAAGGAAGCTTATTACTACTTCACTGTGTTGTTGTTATTGTTGTCGTATCTTCAGAACTTAGGACAGTGCCTGGTGCACAGTAGGCTCTCAGTAAATGCTTAATGACTAACTTTATAGATAGACAAGTCACTTAGCCACTCTAAGGTAAGCTCTCTAAGACTGCAAAGTGGCAGACAAGCTGCTGGATTCAAAGATCCAGGTCCCCCTCCTTCCACTGCCCCCACAATTAAGTCAAATTAATGAGAATAGAAATCGGAAGCACTTTCAGTCCTTTTAAGTGTAGTGTTGGAGTTCTTTGAGAACAGTCAGGTGCTCTGAAATATATTTCTTTGCCTAGAAGGAGGTGCCTGTCATGTACATAGGTTGAAATTGAGATAAGATGATTGCCTAGTCTGGAACTCACATCTGGGCTAATTCCTCAAGTTGATGAAAAGTGGCAGAGGACCTTCAATCTGAACTTGCCCAAGCGAAGTGAATGATGGATCAAACTTTTTAAAGTTGGATTGATAGACAACCTGAAAACTCAAGGGGGAAAAAATGCCTTTATCACAAAAGGAGGCAGGTTCTTTTGGCCTGATTTAGTTGGATAAATTTGGCTTATCTTTTCACTTTGCTTCATATAGATACAGCTAAGAAAAAACAGAAGGTATTTTTCAAGACAGCTATGCTTGGCAAAACAAAACAGATCTCTTTTTTACTTTGATGAGCAGAAATATTGGGAAATTTTAGGATTTATTTATGGACTATTTTTTCTCTTGTATTTTCTACAATTATATAAATTTCTTAGTAGCTTAAATCAAGAAAAATCATAACATATTAATAATACAACATGTGATAAAATATAATAAAATAATACATAGTTTTAGGGTGTCAGAGTACTAATATATGCTGTATTTTTCATGCACATTGTCTCTTTTAATCACAGTTTATCACATATTTTTAAGAGATTAATTCTTCTTTCTGTTTAGTACTGGGAAGATGATCACTACCTAATCAATAATCACAGTGGAAATCATGGGCAGGTATAGATCTCTATTCATTAGTTCACTTTTTTAGGTCAAGTTCCTATTGTAAAATATACGATTCTGCTTTTTTTTCTCTTTTGTTCAAGTATTTTCTTATATTCTTTCAAATGAGAAAATATTGAAAGCTATATTGAAATTAACTTTAAAAAACTAAATTTTGCTTGTTGTTGTTCAATCATGACTGATTTTTTGTGACCCCATTTATTGGCAAAGACATTGGAATGGTTTGCCATTTTCTTCTCCAACTCATTTGACAGATGAGGAAACTGAGGCAAACAGGGTTAAGTGACTTGTCCAGCATCACAGAGCTAGTAAGTGTCTAGGGCCAGATTTGAACTTAGGAAGAAGCTATCTGCTGCACCACCTAACTGCCCAGTGGTGGTGTAGTTGTTCAGTAGTGTCTGACTCTTCATGACCCCTGTGGACCCTACTGTCCATGAGGTTTTCTTGGTAAAGATAGGGGAGTGGTTTGCCATTTTCTTCTCCAGGGGACTGAAGCAAACAGAGGTTAAGTGACTTGCCCAGGGTCACACATCTAGTTAAGTGTCTGAGTCCACATTTTAACTCAGGTCTCCCTGACTCCAGGCCCAGCACTCTATCTACTACTGTGCAACCTAAACTTTGCTTAGTGACTATTTTAACAATAGTTCAGTCTCTTCAATTCCCATCACAATTCTTTGTCCTTTCAATCTAGTTTTCTTTCTGTATGTAGCTAGTACATCATTCTTAATTCTTTTTTTTTTGCTTCATATTATTTGCTAAAGGTCTTTTAAAATTTTTTTGCATTTCTCCTACTTATCTATCTTCATTACATTATACCATTCAATTACTTTAACATGCCCCGGTTTTTTTTTTAACCATTCACTTATTGTTGGATTTTTAGTTGTTTCTAAGTTTTTTTATTTTTTAAATTACATACAATGCTGGTATTAAACTATTCGAAAATGGTTTCTCCCCCTCCCCCCCAGAATATTTTGAAGCTCCTTAAATTTTTCTTCCAAGAGGCAATGTGGTTTAATGGCAAGAACACTGGAGTCAGGAGAAACTGAATTTCAGTGCTGGCTCTGCTATGTGATCCTAGGCAAGTCATTTATCCTTAATGAACCTCAGTTTCCTAGTCTGTTAAACAGTGGTCATTACACTTGTACTTTACTGACTTCAGAGGATTATTTTTGAGGAAAGTGCTTTGTAAAACTCTTAAATATTCTAGAAATGTAAATTAGTCTTAGTATCTCATTAGTGTACCATATAAGATGTAGGAGAAGCAAAGATTTCAGTTTTAGGTGCCGAAAACTAGGTGAGTTAACTTGTTAGCCCCACATAGTCTCTCTCTCCCAGTCCAATCATATTTGCTCCAATCCTGACTCAGATACTGGATGGTTACTCCCTAAAAGAGGCAGTTTTTTCCCCAGCATTTTTAAAGGGAGATACTTTTTTTTTAAAATGGGAAAAACACGGCCAGAAAAAAAAAGAAGGAATTCCTTAACCTCTCCGTAATATTGCGTGATAAATAGAGGAGGGGGACACCAAGGGCTATAAGAACTTTAGGGAAAAAAACCATATTTGTTAAACGTAAGTGCCATAACTAATTTCTTTTCATTCAAGCCTTATAGGATCAGTTAACTTGGAACCCTTTGTGTTAAAGGGGAGGGTCCTGCTCAGTGAGCAAACTCTGGTTTAGTTGTACCAGCTAGGGACTCCCTCCCTACGACCTTTGACCTCGGGTAATCTGCATAGAGGAATGACAGGCATTCAGTGGAACAGGAACAGCGGAGCTGGGTTGCAGCAGGAGGTGGACTTTCAGACAAACGTGAGAGGCCGGCGGGAGGTGCCGGAGGAGCTCAGACCAGAAAGCGCATTTACAGGAAAGGTGAAATGAACCTTTCGAAGCCCCTTGGGGAGAGAATCCATGACCAAAGGACCAAGAGAACTGCATGACTGCTGGCCCGCGGCCGGCTAACGTGCAGAAATGGGCCAGACCTCAGTCTCCACGCTGTCTGAACAACGTTCTAGTGGTGAGTAGAGGGAGAAGCCTCTTTCCTCCAGCTGTCTGTCCGGCTGGGCTGGCCAGCCAGATGCAGCTCGCTCTCTCTCTTTCTGCTTTTTACAAACGGTTTTGTTTTCTCGCACTTGAGCAAATGTAAAATTGAGGGCAACGACACTACTTCACCAGGCTGATTTTCCTCTGACCTATTAAATCTCATCAGTGAACCGATTTGGGAAGCTATCCTCAATTCTTTGTCAAAGAAAAGTAGAATGCCTTTGGGGGGAGTTATAGCCGATTTTTTGCCTTAAAGGTACAGACTCCCTTTTGGGGGAAAGATGACTTGCTCGATTGGGTATTTGAGTTGCTTCTGAACATAATTTGATTTGGGTAAAGCAGAAATGAACTCATTCACGCAAAAGCACGGTGAAAAAAAGCCAGACGTTGTGTAGTTCTTTACGGTGACAAACTTAGGGAGCATAAAAAACCTATTTGTGGTTTTGTGTGCAATCTAGCAACATAGCAATCCACAACTGAATTCTTTTTTTTTTGAACTGTTTCAACTGATTAGGCTTTCCTCATTGTAACTGAAAGTTCAACTTTTATGTAGCCAATCTTAACTAGCTGCTAGTTATAAAAATTGGAACTGCTTCATGTGATGTTATTTTGTTACACACTTTAGCTTCAAGACTCAAACAAAAAAAAATCTCATCGCTTTTATTGCTAAGGATTAGAGTAGATTTCTTAGAATTGTCCGATATATTTCTGGGTCGTAAAAAGAGCAAGTGTTCTCTGCGTTTGTGTATGTGTGTATGTATGTGTGTATGTATGTTTTAAACAAAAAAGGGAAGGAAGGCACATCTGGCATTTCCCCAGCTGTGTAGGGATAAACAACCTCGTGGTTCGACAATGAGAAAATAAATAAATGAGAGTATTTTGGTATTTTTATGCTCAATATTTTAGAAGTGCTTGGAAACCTATTTGATAACTTAGAATAGATATACTTGGACAGTGTAATTTTTTTTTTAAAGATAAACTTGAGCAGACGACCAAGGGACAAGGCACAGATTTCTAAGTCAATACCAGTAAGATTTATAATCTGTTTGCCCAATTGTAGATATATTTTTTCACCGTAACGTTCTTTTCTGTGTGGAGTTGTTTATATCCCTGAAGGCACAGCTTAGTTCTCTGAAGTATTGTAAACTTTTTCTTGGGGCTTATCTTGGTACCAAAGGAATGATGAATTTTCTGCAAAGAAAGTAAGAAGTAAAATAAAAAAATCAGTTTCCTTAGTAGTTGAGTTCAGTTTTAATGGCATGTGGCTTCAAAGACATCTCACTTTAATCTTGTGACTTTTGTTTACAACACCTTTGATTTTTGCAAATAAGCCACTTAGTGAGGTAACTTCCTTTGTTTAATTGAAAAGCATTCTGACTTCTTTCCTCCTTGTGCCTTGGAAACCAGGGTAATACAATGTTTTTCTTTTTTTCATCTTCTCCAATAAAGAAGTCTTGAATTAAATCAGTGCTTTAAAATAAGTTTACTGTGCTCTCTGGATCTCTCAAAACAAAAAATGCACAAATCTTTAAAATAACAGAATTCTTAATAAAAATTGATGATAAAACCAATATATCAAAAACCCCTGAAGTCTCAGTGATGTATTTCCTTTACCAATAGATGCAGATTGCACTCCTCTATGACTTTGGTAGATGGTGTTCAAAAATCCTTTTAGCCAAGAAATGTATATGGCTTTCTAGGCTGCCTGGTGAGAAGGCTCTCCAGAATTAGTTACACTGGTCCCAGCTAGACACCTAGTCTATCACAGGGTTCCCATTCTAGGCCTGCCAGATATGTCTTCTTCAGGCATACTTTGAAATATGCTGTCACCTTCAGGTCGTGATGTGTTGTCAAAGTAGGTAGGACCTTGCTAGAAGATTATACCAAAAGATCACATAATTTGCAAATAAATAGAAATGATTATTACTGCTGAATGACTCCCAGGAAAATGAATAACTTCTGTCTAAATTTCAGGTCTGTGTTTATAAAAGTATTTACAGCTGTTTACAGGTAGACTGGTAACTCTGATTGTCAGGCATGCAGAGTCAAAGTTATGTTCAATGAGCAATAATACTCATTTCTGAAATCACACGTCTGCAGGCATAGAGCAATCATCTCATTCCACATAATTTCTTTGAGATCAGTTTTGCATTATTCATTTTCCCTGTAACTTTGCAATGCTCTCCTAAATAAAAATGGCTTTAGGCCAGCTTTTTGCTTGCTATGTGTCATAACTTGTATATGCCATGTCAGAGGCAGCTGGTGACACAGTTTTTAGTACACTAGACTAGGAATCAAAAAGACCTGAGTTTGAATCCTAAGATACTTAGTAGCTGTAAGACTGTGGACAAGTTACTTCACCTCTATCTGCCTCAGTTTCCTCAACTGTAAAATGGGGCACTTACCTCCAAGGGTTGTTTTCAGGATCAAATGAGTAACATATGCAAACCTCAGTATGTCAGCACAGTGTCAAGTACCCACAGAGCGGGTACTATATAAATACTCATACCTTCCTGGTATATTTTCTTCATTCCTTGTTGTCTATTTAGCACAGTTGTTGTGAGGATCAAGCGAAATAATATTTGTAAAAAAAAGTGCTTAGTACAGTGCCTGGCACATAGTAGGCACTGTATAAATGATCATTCCCTTCTTATCTCTTTCCAGTGCATTTTCTTCATTCCTTATTAGCTGTCTGGCTGTGGATTTGGTTTGCTTTGGAACCAGGCCCCTATAGATTTTTAAGCCTTTTAAGGGCAGGTAGGGATTACAAATACAAAGAAGAGCCTTATCTTTTCTAGCTTGTTTGCACATAGCTGTTTGCATGCTGTCTCCTCTATTAGAAATACTGTGAGCTCCTTGAGAGCAGGGACTGTTTTTGTTCCCTCCCCCTCAGCCCCTTTAGATCCCCAGACCTTAGCATTCACAGTACCTGGCACGTAGTAGGCACAATGTCAATGCTTATTGACTGGACTGGACTTTTTCACTTAGCTTATGGAAAATCTGTTTCAGTGCTCCACAGTTGATAGTGCACTTAGAATTTTTTAAAAAGCCCATTGAACCTTCTGTTACTGAATCTGGAATTCCAGGGAGGTATTATAGGTCACCCATTTGCTTTCTGCTCATTACTCTGAACTCAATTGCCTCAAAGACGTGAAGTGAGACAGCTCAGCGGATAGAGCACTGGACCCAGAGTCAGGAAGACCTGAGTTCAAATCCAGCCTGAACAAGTCACTAAACTGCCTCAGTTTCCTCAACTGTAAAATGGGAATAGTTTCCAAGGTGGTTGTGAGGATCGAATGAAATGACATTTGCAAAGCACTTAGTACAGTACCTAGTAGTAGGCACTATATAAAAATGCCTATTTCCTTCTCCTTCCCCCATCTCACGGTTATGGTGAGGATTAAATGAGATAACATGCAAACTGTTGGTAAAACTTCAAATGCTGTATAAATGCTAGCTATTGTCATTATTGTTATTTTCAGATTCTTTTCAGCTCTGAATCTATGATTCTTTGAAAGGACTTTCCATTCATACCCCACTCTCATCCCTTTGAAATTCCTTTTCCTTTTCTTCAAGGTCTAACTCATATTACTCCACTTCTTGACAGATCCTGCTTCCTCCCCCTTCCTCTTGGAAGTGACCTCTCACCTTCCTCAAATTTTTCATAACTCTTTAGATCACCCCTTTGCATGCATTTCTAATTTGGCTTATAGTGATTCATATGGATGCCTTGTTTTATCCTATTAGAAGATAAACTCTTTAAGGATGGAGGTTGTGCTTTATATATGATTGTAATAACAATAATAATAAGCTAGCATTTATACATCACTTTAAGGTTTGCTAAGTACTTTACATATATTATCTCATTGGTTTTATCAAGAGCCTTGAGGTGCTGTTATTATCCTTATTTTGCAGATGAAGAAAGTGAGGCAGACAGGGGTTAAATGATTTGCTCAGGATCACACAGCTAATCAGTTTCTGAAGCTGAATTTGAACTCCATTCTTTATGACTCCAGGCTCAGGGGTCTAACCACTAAGCCATCTAGCTGCTCCTAGATGTAATGTAAATCTCTAAATAATCTTTGCTGTTCTGAGCACATGATTGATATTTGCTTTACTCTGTAGGGGAATCAAATCTTTCTCCTTGACTTTGCACTGTTTCCTCTGAATGTTAGAAATACACATTCAGAATGCATAATCTAGCATAATTTAAAAGCACAGGCCAAGCACCACCTGTATGCCACATACTCTGCTAGGCACTGGAGATACACCAAGAAAAAACATGAAAACAACCCTTTTGTTTAGGAAGCATACATTCTCCCCTGAAGGAACATATATAGATGAACAGAATAGATAAAAAATTATTTTGAAAGGGAGGCAGTGATGTGAGAAGGGGTCAAAACAGTCCTTGTGTAGAAGATGGGGAGCTTGAGTAGAATTTTGAAGGAAGCTAGGGATTTTGAGAGAAAGAGGTAAGGAAGAACTATGTACCTGGCAAGGAGGCTGCCTGTGCAAAACCATGAAAATGTGAGATTTAATACAGGAAGGCCAACTTGGCTGGACTGTAGGGTGAATGTATTGGTGATAAGGATGAAAATGTAAGTTGGGATAAAGTTGTGAAAGGCTTTAAATGCCAAGCAGAGTAATTTATGTTTAATGCTGAAGGTAAAGAGGAAACCACTAAAATTTATTGAGTAAGAAGAGAGTGATGTGGTCAGATTTGGATTTAGGAAAATCAGTTTGGCAGCTATGGGGAGGAAGGATGGGAAAGGGAAGAAACTTTGATATGGGTAGAACAATTAGGAGCCTATTGAAATAGTACAGGAAGGAGATGCTAAAGATAATCATTACCACGGTGTTGGCTGGGTGAGTAGAGAGAAGTGGACATATGAGAAAATTATCATAGAGATAAAAGTGACAGCATTTGACAGCTGAGTGGATATGTGGAGGGTGGGAGAGTGAGGAATTGAGGAT